CCTCTCGCGGCAGGACGTGGCCGTGGCCGTGGGCGCGTGCGCGCGGGACCGGTAGGGCAGAGGCCCGCCCCTCCCCGCCCCGTATCCATGGCGACGGACCCGCGCCTACCCCTGGAGCTGTCCAGGGCGGAGCCACGCGGCACCTTCCTGCCTCCCACAAATTATTGGGTTGCCAAGGGTGACTTAGCAACAACCCTTAGCATCTTGGTTGTCGAGTGCACCATAACTGCCCGGCCCCAGGTGTGGGGGAAAGTGGGCTTGGTGGCCCGCAGTAGAGAGCCAGTCTGGAGTCCTGGAAGGCGGCACCGGAGAGAAGCGTTATCGTGGGTAATGCCACTTTCACTTGAGGCTTCGTGACAGACCTGGGAACCGAGCCATGCAAGGCCACTTGCTCCCATTTTACAGCTGAGGCTCAGGGAAAAAACTGGATCCAATCTCCGGACAGTGAAAATATCAGCTTCCTGCCTCCAATCCTCCACCGCCACCTCCTCCCTTCCTGGCCCCCCAACCAGAGCACAAGGGTGATTATTCATCCATCCAACTTTTATTGAGTACCACTCCCTGCTAGGACGGTTCTGAAGGCTGGAGAAACTAAGTGAATAAAACCAAGGCCCCGCCCTCCTGGAGCTCACCACGGGAACTTCGCTCTCCTTTCAGGCTCCCTCTTCAGTGCCCTACACGTGGCTGGGGGAGGCTGGTCTGCCCTTCTAGCTTAACGTAACCCCAGGTCAAGTGTAAACTCCTTGAAGACAGGTTCGATCTTCAGCTCATATTTCTGAAGATCTACAAAAAACAAAGCACTCTTCTAGGGCCCCTGAGATAAAATCTCGTCCTCCTAAGAGGTCCAATCTTGCAGTGGAGGGGTTAGGGGAGGAGACAACTATGCTCATAATCTTGGTCACTAGACAAGCTGGGCCAAGAGCTAATTTGGTTTTCCTCACATGGAGGATAGATGTTTGGGAGGAGAATCATCTTACTGTGGATCCATTACTGTACTAGCAAAGGACAGACTACGCACACAGAGGCACTTGCAATCCTGGTTTCCTTTCCTTCTGCTTCACATTGTTCTGTCCACAGGCAGGGAAAATTAAACCTCACCCACAGGGCTCTGGGCCAACGAGCAGAAAGGGTAGCTGACCCCTCACAGGTACTCAGGACTGGGCTGGCAGGGTTGTGGCAATTCCATTCTGCTGAGGAACATTAGGCACATGATCAAATCATTTGGGTGCCCCAGGCAAGTGGACTGGCATTTGCACCACACTTGGAAGCATTTCCTGTGAGACAAGGAAGGGCCAGTGCCCTCGGAGACAGACAGCATCTGAATGGTCAGTTTTGCTTCTCAAAACCTGATGAGCTTCTTCCAGGAAACTGTTGTCTGGAGCTGCCCTTTCCTCATCTTGTTCTCTCTGCTCACTTCCTTTAGCTTGGTTGGGGAACTACAGAGCCCCACGTCAGAGTTCAGGGTGTGCCTTAGGAGCCCCAGCATCTCTGTGGTGAAAGAAGAGTTGGCCAGTGACTGGGACTGCAGCCATCAGCCTCCCTGGCTTCACTGCAGGCTGCTCCCAACAAGCCCCACCCTTGGTAGGATCCCAGCAAGGCCTCCACTAGCCACAAGGAGGAAGTAGCTCAGGCACTGTCCTCTCCCCCTTGTGGCAAGTTTGAGCAGACTCCATCTCCTAGCTGCCTCACCCATGCTTCACTCCCACTCCTATCTCCTAACACACATTTTCTCCTCTCATGAGTCCAGATTTGGCCTGTCTCCTCCTGCCTTCCTCTGTCCAAGGAATCCCTACACAGGCTCTTTAATTCTCCTAGTAAATTCTCAGAGGATGTTCCCCCAGGGCTCTTCCCCTTAAAGGGACCAAGCTTGGAAACCCAAGTGTAGATGGTCCCCACCTTCCCCTATCTTCTCATGTTCCAAAGCCCTTGGTATTTCTCTTCGAGGCGGTGGTTAGATCCTCTAACTCAGATGATAAACGGAGAGCACACATGCAGTATGCAGCGTAAGGTGCTCTGCAAACCCTGCCACCAGCCATCTCCCTTTGAAGAAGACCCTCTGAAGGCACTGATGCTGTGCCCAATCCCTGGCCACTCACAGCCTAGTTAGGGCTGGCCCTGTAGAGACTTGCCATGACTCAGGACCAGCTAGCCTCAAGCCATTCTTGAGTCAGCTTCACTGTTTCCTCTAGAGCCAGGAAATGAAGTCCTCTTCAAGTGAGCAAAGGCAGAAAAAGCCTAGTGAACCCTACTGCATAAAAAAAGCCTGCCAGCAATCTGTCCTCTGTTCCTACCCTCTACCCCACAGGTGTCATCCCAGCATCCACTATGCTCCCTTTCACCACCACCCAGCCAAATAGCTGTTCAGACAATTCCTTGATCAAACAACAGTTTGATCAGTTTAAATTTTATTTTACAAAAAGAGAAATAAAGAAAACTGATAGGCAGTTATACTGACTTACAATTGTTCTGTTTGCTTTTTTAAAAAAGTGACATGAAACACAAGTAAAAATAAATACGTCATAGAAACAGCCAGTTGCCCAGTCTCTGGGGCAGGAGCACCTGCCCTGCTGAGAGGGAAGCCCATGATCACACCAGCAGCTGGAGCACCCAGCCGCAGATGATCCTCAAAGTCAGGGGCAAGTCCCAGGCCTCAGGGGGCGTCCTGAGGAAAGAAGACGGAAAACCAAAGCCAGGTGCCAGGTCCCTGGGGCCACCTCATCTCCCCCTACTCCTCCTGGCAGCAGTGTGGCCTTAGTGGTTATCCATTGCAACCCCCTCAACCCACCTGGACCCTCTTCCCCCGACCCTTCTGGAGAGGGTACAAGAAAAAAAACAGTCTCGGGCAGGCTGAGCGGATTCTTCCGGTGAGTCCCCAGCCCACCCTGAGTAACATAACCAGATAACAGTCAGTTTACATCCATGTGCACATGAGCAAGCATGTGCACACATACACAGTCACACACACACACACACACACACACACAAACCTGGGCTGAGCTCTCTTCCAGGGGAGGGTCCTGGGTCAGATCACAGTATGAGGTCCCCTCTCTTCTGAGTATCATCCCAGTAGTGGTAAGAGAGCACCCAAATCTCCCCCAGCCCCCGGCACTAGACTCTGCAGCCTGTCTAGCTACCTCTCCCCAGTGCACTAGATTACTGTGGCAAACAGACCTATGAGAGAGGAAAGGAACAGATTCAGGTCCCTGAAGAGCAAAGAAGTTGGACACTGCCTGCTCAGGAAATTCATTGTAAGACTTGGGTATTCATAAAAGGCCTAAGGCCAAGTTAGTGGCACAGAATAGACATTAAGGGATCACAGCAGAATACACAGGGCAGAAGACAAGAGTAAGGAGGATGGGAATGGAGTCTGGAGTCTGATGGAGAGTGTAGCACTCTCAGACAGACCTTGAGGTGAGGATTTCTTGGGAACAGTCAGCAGGGGGCCAGAAAGTCTCCTGGAGGTCCAGTGAGGGAAAGAGCTCTTCTCTCAGGAGTTTTGGTGGGGAAAGAGCCACCTAGCTGGTGCACAGGAGGCCACAACTCAGAAAGGAGACTGGTCCTTTGTGGAATCACAGGGGACTGGGAGGCACAAGAGGGTCATGGCCAGGAACACTAGGAACAAGGAATGTAAAGCCCCAGAAGACCTTCCCAAGGGATGAGGATTCAGTTCCAGTGCAATGCCAGGCATGAACAGACTGAAGCAGAGGAACTTGCTCTGGCAACAGCTTTGGGAGTGACAGTCCCACCCAGATTGCTAAAGTATAGTTGAGTGTTTTCAACCTATCGGCAAAATGTTACCCCAACTATTTGCTTCATGCTCTGGAGTGGGAAAATTTCATATTTAGTTGTGAATCACAAGTACATAGAGATTCCACACACTAATTCCTAGGGAAGAGAGTTCCAAGGACCAGAGTTATTCTTAAGTCACAAGATGCTTAAGATAGATGCTTAAGAAGCATAATGCAAGGGAGTGAGAACTTTGCAGATATCTAATGTGAAAAAACAGATCTGTATCCAACATGGTTCATTTACTTTCTCACTTAAATTAAGCTAATTTGTCTCTCTTCAATTTTTACCTACGAAGATACTGAGAAAAGGAAATCAAGCATTGCTACAAATGGTAATCCTGAATCATTAAATAGTACTATATTCCCTAGGCCGAGGATTTAGGCTAAATCAAACAGATGGGGCTTGAGAGGCCCTTGAAAACATTCTGTGGAAGACAATAGTGAGGGAAAATACCTAAGTCTGATCTTCTGCTCTCCCTCATGTCACCATCCTTCCCTTACTCAGGCTCGGATGGTGGGTGGAGGCCACCACCAACTGTCTCTGATCAAAGTAACTGTAAAATACGGCTCTCAGACTCTACATTTCCTGCTTCCTTCACACATATGCTCATGTTTGATGTGCATGCACGCTTGTCTACCAGCACATACAAAGAGACAGCGGAAAAGTCACAAAAGTGTTTTCAGGTTCATTTGAAAAAAAAAAAAAAAAGGAGAAGAAAAGAAACAAACCATGGAACCAATAGCATTCTAATTTCCCATGATTCCACCCTACCCCCTTACACAACATAAGCTGCACATACCAAAGAAAGCCTTGTCTAGTCAGGTCAGCCTCCCAAAACTATGGCCTCTCCTGAGTTGAAGCAAGACCCAGGCTGTGGAACTACTGGGTAGAGAGCAGGCACGGGCGGCCTCTCAGAATATCCATTCACTTCCCAGTGCCTTCAAAAGCCTATCCCTCTAGTGACTGGTTTCAATTCCTTGCTGGGATAGTTTCTGGATTCTCAAAGCCTGCTACTGTGATTTCCTAGAGGTAAACACAGAAATACCCCTTCTTCCCTAAACACACACACACACACGTCTCTGGGATCCCAGTGCTCTGGGGCCTTAGAGGCATCAGTAGCTCAGGTTGTGACTGTGCTCTGCAAATTGGAGATCCAAGCTAGCTTACTCCTACTGCACCAGCCTCAACCAGAGAGCCCATGCCAGCTGAGTCCCTTCACCATTCATTCTTGGGATGCATCTGGAAGAGAAAGCACTGGTTGGAACTGCTGTTTTAAAATTATTAAAATAACTTGCATAGCTAAATTGTAGGTCTAAGGCTTCTATGAGTAGGAGAGTTAAGTGTCTGAAGGGTGCTTATGAAAACAGAGAAAGAAAGCTCCTTAAGTTCCACTTTTGGTGTAACTGGACAGCACACACACCCCGCCATCAGCCATCTCCCTGTCTCTTCTCTGGGGATAACATCCAGAGTGCGCTAAGGCCTTCCAACAGGGGAGATGGGCCGGTCAGAAAAGTTGCAGAAGCAGCTACTTACTAGGAGTGAGCTGGCCAAGCTGCTTCCAGGGCTGGGAAGAGGCAGGTGCAGCAGCTGCCCAGTGAGGAGGGACCCATGTGTAGGTGGTAAAGCGCTAAAGCCAGACAGGGTTTGTTCATCATAAAGAACTTCCTAGCAAGGTCTCAGTAGCAGTGAGGGGAAAAGCCAATAGGAAGACAGCCAGTGTTTATGCTTAAAGACTAGATGCCCCCTGCCCCCACCCCCAGCACTGGCAACAAGAAAGGGGAGACCCACAATGACTGATGTGTTCTTTTAAAATGATTTAAGGCTCCAACAGAGGAAGGGCTCCTCCGTGTTCCTTTGAAGAGGATGGAGGTAGCAGACACCAGGCCCACGCTGAGCATCTATCTGACAGGCTGGGGAAGCCCAGATACTTCCCAATAGGAAATCAGTAGTCTGTTTCCTCAACCCAGCAGCCACCTATACACAGCTTTCACTATTCAGCATAGAAAGCCTGCCTCTGAAGTCATTCCAGGAGGACACAGCTCCAAATTTGGGGTCACTTTCCAACTGCAAACTCCATGATGCTAAGTTTCAATCACTGTGGAATGAGTCTCACCTTCACCAGCTATCCAGTCACAGGATTCCCTGATCTTCCTGAGAGGCCATTTCCTGAAAACATAGTTCTTTAATAAACCTTGGTCAAGCCGAACTCTCTTTCCTTGGTCAATTCACCATCCACCCAGGATTTACTCACCAGCAGCTATGGGGTCTGGGATATCTGAAAATTTCCCTTCCCATCTCCTACCCTCTTTACCCTAACTCCCTCTCCCACCCACCCCCCAGAAAGAACCAAGACACATGAAAAGTCCAAATAATAAATAATTGCCCATAAGAAATAAATTAACATGGAGCTCTCTAATGGGGAAGGAAAGGAAAGGAAAGGCCACCAGGACAGGTAGCTGGGGGCTCAGTTCCATCCTTGTGAAGAATGTCTCTTCTGGCCACAACTCCATGACCTCTCACTCATACACCACAGTGCTTCTCCCTCCCAGCCTCTGCACACAGACAATCTCATGCCCTGGTAAGGGAGATCTGCTCAGAGACAGCCACTGGGGAAAGAGACAGAGATTGGTAATGCCCGTTTTCTCTCATAATTTCCCCCAAACTTAAAAAACAAATGTGGCTCTGAAAACCAGGGACTTGGGTTAGCTGGGCCTTGTCTGCACCCAACTAGAAGGAAACTTGTGGTTTCCATGGCTCTTCTCCTGGGCTCACCCTGATGTTCATCCTAATAGTTGCCAAGAACCACCACACTCTGATTTCCGTTTTTAAAAAGGTAAATTCATTTCTTAGTTTCCCCCTTAGTCCCCCCTCCCTCCCTTCCCACCCACCATCACCCCTGCTCTGTTACATACACGTACGTACATACATAAGCACACACACGCACTAACACACATACCTGGTCTGCTTCTTTCCCACCCCCTAAAAAGATTCCACTTACATGGAATCTCAGTCTGCCCACCCTTCTTCTCTTACCCTCCCTCCCTCCCCTCCCCTCTCCAGGCCAAGCTAAGTCACCCAGTAAGGCAGCTCTCTTGGGAGAGAATGTTCCCAAAGACAGAAATGGGACATGAGCTTCTACACTCAAATGGGCAAGCAAGCAAGCAGACAGCATAAACAAGGCAGGCAGGAAAAGAGGCAGGCCACCTTGCCCCTCCATTCCTGTTTTAGGTCCCTGATTTCCCACTATTGCTGCTCTGTTGGATTTTTTTGCTTCTTTTCTTAGAAACAGCAACAGAGCCCTGCCACCTATAGCCAGCCACCCTTCTTCATCTTCTTCCTTTTCCCTCCTGCCTAGTGCCCTGTTCTCAGAAAGCCCAGATTGCTGCCTTCCATCTTGGTGGGCAACCTGCCAGGGGCCCCGAGTGAGGTGGAGAGGGGCTCCCCAGCTATTTCCCTGTGACCTCTATCACATCATCATCCTTATCCTCATCATCATTGGAGCTGAACCCCACTTCGGCAACCTCATGAGAGTCAAATGGAGGCACCTGGGACCGGAGGAGGCCACCAGTGGGGTAGCCTGCATGTGGGGACATGTAGCCTGGGTAGACAGACATGCCCCGTGAAAGGTTACTGGACAAGACAGGGGAAGGAAAAGGCGCAAACATCCTCGGCTCGGACAGGAGTGGCTGTGAGAATGGGAGTGAGTAGCTGGGTAGTATCCCTGGTACAGAGGGGTTGAGCATGAAGGAGGGGTTGCTGGCAGTGACTGAGGTAGCCGTGGAAGAGGAACTGACGGGGCCTCCTGGCACCAGAGGGTCAGTAGTCACTGGAAATACCAGGCGGGCATCTGCCAGCAAATTGGACAGCTGGTAGTAGGAGGGGGTACTGCCCATAAACAGGGAGTTCTCCCCAGCCTGGGAGGTGAAGGGTGGGGTGAGGTTATGGTTTAAGGAGACGGGTGGCACGGCAAACCCGCCAGAAACTGGATACCCGTGTTCATACGGCTGCACGGGGGCTGGCAGATGGCCCTTCCTGGACCGCCGGCGGGATGACTCCTGGGCAGCAGATGGTGTGGCCAACTTTCGCTTGTGGCCCCTTAAGTCCAACACTGGGTGCCTGTCACCACAGGGCTGGCCCGTTACCAAGAGGGAACTATTGAGGCAATGACCCCCATGTCGAGGCTCAGTCCCAAGAGCCGTCCCAGGAACAGCACTGCTGTCCACAAGTTGAGCCGGGGGACCAGGCAGGGCGGCATTGGAGCTTGGGGAACTCTGACGGGATTCCCGGGCAGCAGCCACATCTGCATACTGCTGGAGCTCACTGATGATCTCCGGGCTGTCTGGAGAGACGGGTCTGGCCAGCCCCTCGGGGTCAGGGGCTTTGGGTGATGAGGCACTGTGTCTGCCGTTGCTTGTGGACTCGAGAGAAGGCCCTTGGGAACCTAGGGACAAAAATGTAGGTAACTGAGAACCAGAATGGCCAGGGAGAGAAAGAGAGTATAGGAAAAAATTTCATTAAAAAAAAATCCTATCCTGTGGTCCCCCAAATTCAAATAGTTTGAAGTACAAATAATATTACCCAGTCAACTTTTCTCAGTCACAAAGAACGGATTCCTTTGATGGAGGAAACAAGTCTATCCATAACAAGACATGCAACTTCTCTGTACCCCAGTTCCCCAATCTATGAAACTCCACCAAGGTGAATCCTATGAAATCATGTATATGAAATGCTAAAAGATCATTCTTTTAGTGAGACTCTTTCCGGAGGCAAAGACAGTTAGTGACCAGGATGGGAGAAAAGAGGAAAATGACATTTAAAAAGCAGTCCATCCTGGTTTAAAAACAAAACAAAATTCATGGCCATGAAAGATGGTTGGGACAACTGGGAAATCTGAATATGGCCTAGATAGTAGGATGCAATTGTTAACTTTGTTTTAGTGTAATAATGGTGTTATGACTCAGAGGAGTATATCCTTAATCTTAATCAATGTATGCTGAAATATTTAGGGGTGAAATGACATGATGACTTCAACTTACAAACAGTTCAAATAATAGGAAGGTAGAGAGAGAAGAAAGTTAGTGAGAATGGGACAATTGCTGGCTCCAGGTGCAGTATGTGAGTGCCACAGTGCTGTTCTTTCAACTTGTCTGCACGTATGAAAATGTCCATAATAAAAGCAGTCCAGCTCTCATGCCTCTTGGTAGGAGGATAAATGAGAACCACTCCAAGAGAGGAGAATTTTCCTGACGTTGTTAATATGCCACACATACACTCTTTGACCTGGCACTCCCACTTCTAGGAATTTATCCTATAGATACACCCACATGACTGTGAATCAGAATTGGAATGGTGAAGTACAATTTATGTCCAGGGACAGGGAACTTGGTAATGCACTGTAATACCCATCTGACGGTGTCCTATGCAAACCTTCACTGAGGAATAGCTAAAGAAATGATAAGGAACAAGCACTGAGATACATTAGTGAATGAAGAAAAGGGCAAACAGTAGATAATAGTAAGTATCTGTTTTAAAACGAAAGTTATATACATACATACTGTTTTTTTATATACACACATACACACGTGCACATACATAACCCTGTACCATGTGTTTGTATAGAATATCTCTGGAAAAAACACCTCCAGGTGGAGTAGCACCTCCAGGAGAAGCAATGGATGGCTGGGAGTATGGGGGAAGAAAAACTTACTTTTCACTTTACCCCTCTGAATTGTGAACCACGTATACATTCTCTATTCAAAAAATAAATTAATTACAAACCAAACCAAAAAAATGCCATCTAGGTCAACGGAAAGTAGAAGGCACTATACCTGAGGCAGCCATCCGACCATCTTCAGGGGCCTTTGGTTTGCCAGTCGCCCGAACAGCAAAGATTCGCCCATCACTGGTGCGGATGTATGTCCCTGAGAAGAAACATGAGGAAGACTGTTATGAACAGACATGCAATACAGCCAACCCTGGGAGACTCCAGGCCTAGGCATTGTGGGTTAGGAAACAGCTGCAATATTAGGTCTCACAAGCTCTCAATATCCCTGAAATGAGTTGGGTGACTTAGCTGGGGACCCAATATTACTCATTTATTTCACAAACACTGATCTCATGACTACCATATATCAGACACTGTTCTAGACACTGCAGTACACAAGACAGAAAAGGGCCCTGTCTCATGGAGCTTAACCTCCAGAGGAGGAGACAGACAATTATACTAGAAAACATCAGGACAGATTAACTGCAGGACAGGAGGAAATAAAACAGGGTGCTGTGAAAGAGAGTAAGTAAGCTCCCTCTGTTGTGGACCAGGTACTCCGGCTCAGGCCCTCCTCTTGATTTGGGAGGAGGGAGTCTTACTGCCTCAGCACCCTCCCTCCCTTGGTAGGAATAATTCAAGACGGGCATTCTAGTCCCACACAGCACTAGTCTACCTTCCCTTGGTCTTGGGCATGTCTTTTGATCTATCTCTTGGTGTCAGAGCTGTCTCCTGGCCAGAGGTCGAAAACTTTTCCTTAAAGGGTCAGTTAGTAAATATTTTTGGCTTTGTGGGCTGTAATGTCTCTGTTGTAACTACTCGGCTCTGCTGCTGGGTGTAGCTGTGCTCCAAAGAGCTTTCTTTATGGACAACGAAATGTGAATTTCATAGTTTTCGCATGTCACAAAATATCATTCTTTTGATTTTTTTTTCCAACCAGTCGAAAATGGTTGAAAATGTAAAACTCATTCTTGGTTCACAGGAAGCAGGTGTGATTTGGCCCGTGGGCCATAGTCCGCACCCCTGCTCTGGGCTAGGGAGAACCCCATCAGGGGGTTGCATGCGACATACTCTGTGTGTATATGTTTCATGGCATCTTTTCCCTGAGACTGAAGGTACTTTAACCCAACAGAGGCTAAGGCAAACTCTCCTTACTAAACAAAGACCCTCACTTCAGGGGAGCCTCACACAGCAGAGGCTGACAGGAAAGACAGGCTTCAGCAGAGTCCTGACACCATCCAGCCCAGATTTCTCCCTCCAGCAATCTCATCTCTCTCCATAGGGAGGCCAGAGGCAGTGGACTTCTTAAAGGACCACACTCGAAAATTCTGTCAGGCAACCCAGGTATACCACTACATTTCCTAGTCGGAGACCTCCACCCTACTCTAAGAAAGTAGATAAGATGGCACAACAACATACATGTTGGGTTATAACCCATTCCACAGCTCATTCCCTCCGATTCTGGTCTCCCTATGTGTAGCATAGTGCCAGACATTAAGCTTTTGATTGCCAAGGCATCCATTTCAAAGACATCCATTTTGGACAAACAAATTGCCAGCTCTAGGACACAGTACTAGCTAAACTACTAGACTAGGGATCCAGGCTGCTCCTATCCATGAAAAGTTCTTTAGAAAGCCAGAGATAACTTAGATAACTAACCCTTGAGTAACCCCACTTTTCCCTTCCCATACCCTAATTCCCACTCTTATGTTTCAAATTCACCAATAAAGAGTGAACCTGTGAAACTCTAGCCACCTAACTCTTGGACCCTAGTAAAGACAGACCCAGGTCCACGGTCTTTTTCTCTCTCTCCCCATAACTTTCCTGTGTGGACCTTGAGTGTACCACGTACCATTCAGAACCTGTGGGTAATAAACTTTGATTTTTCAAAGTTCCCTGATGGCTGCTGCTGAGGTACATTTTGCAGTCATAATATGAACCACAAGGCTGGTCCAGCGACTACACTGGCTCTGAGGAAATGTCTGTGGGGGCTTGCCACAAGTAGTACAGGACTGGATGACTGTCCCAGGCGTTCCTAGCTGACACTATCCATAGGCTGAGACTAACACAAAGCACTGTCTATCCAAACCCACCCTATAAAAATTCTCAGTAAAAACAACAGCAAAATATAGGAATGCAGGGACCCTAACTCCCTTCTTTTAAGCCACTGACAGATACCCACTGGGCCCACCCCAATTTGGCTGAGCTCCTAGAAGTATCATTCCTATGTTTCCCCAACATGTAACACTCTTGTAGGATGATTCCTATGCCCTCTCTAGCTCAAGCCATATGTATTTATTCTGCTTCCCAGTCCACCACTTTCAACCAAAGGTAGGGGATGAGCCTCTTGGGTCAGGTTCTCACCTTTTGTCCCACGTATGATGTGGATGCTCTCACCAGCAGTAATTCTTGCCTGTACATCTGTGGAGCTGTTGAGTCCAGGAATAACAATATCTAGTAAAGACACAGATCTCATATTTAGATTACATGGGCCTGACTGAAGGAGGAAAAGAAAATGCAAAGTCCACATCTACCCCTGTTCCTCAGTGGTTTCCCTAAAGTGTCTCAGTGGAGCAAAGGTCAGAACCATGGAAGGTGGAGCAAGCAGAACCTCTCACAACTGTCTAAACAAAGACTACTATGAAAACAAGACACTTTTTAGAAATCTAACTATCTTTCTGATCAGTTTTCCTTGATTTAATTTAAAAATCAGAGTTTTTGGCTTAGAAAAAGTTTTAGCTAAATGGTTATTTCTATTTTTTTCTTCTTCTCCTGAAGCTATTTGCATGTACGTGTTCCATAACACTTTAGGCTCCAAAAGTGGCCTCATCCTCTTCTTTGCTGACATTACTCCATACCTAACTAAAGAATGAAGAGAAGAGTACTTTCAAGAATCAGCAAAGAAGCAGGATTACAAGAGGCTGTCTTTTTGTTTTTATTTGCTTTAATTTTTTTTAGAATGGCTGTGTGTTATTTTCATACTCAAAAAACCCAATTAATGTATTTTCACTAAAATGTATCTATCATGAATATTTCTAGATAACAAGATGAAAAACAGCATCACGAAATGCTTTCCTTCCCCCATTACCTTGAATCACAGAATCAACTACAGGGTTAGATGGGCTACCCACCTCCTACCACTGGCCCACATTAAACCCAGCAGGTTCAGTCCACATTAAACTCACAAAGCAAAAAGCAAGCGATATTCAAGTCTTCCAAGTAAGTAGCAAGGCTGACAGCTGTCCTTCATACCCAGCTGGCCCTACAGTCAGGCAGGACTCAAACACACTCAAACCTCTCTCAGAAGACCAATTCTATGTCCAGTGACATTTCCACAATCTCTGTGGTATTCAGAGTCCATCCCACCCACCAGTTCTGAGTTATTATTCTTCAGATATTTCTCATTAGAATGCAAATTCTTCAAGATCAGGGACTGCTGCTTTCTCCATTTTTACCAAGAATGCCAATATAGTATGGCCTAGAATGCAAACATTGTTGAATAAAAACTTCCTGAATGAACAAAGTAATTTCAAGGACAGCACCCCTGGAAGAGAACCCAGAAACTCCCAACCTGTTGTGGTGACCACTTTCTGCACAAGGACTCCTGCACGCTGTAGGTAGTTGATTGGGAAGTTCATAGCCGGATTGGTGCTGGAGGCAGAGCTTACACTGCCTCCCAGTGGGACATGTCGGGGCATCATGGGGATGGGGGTGGACTGAACAGGACGAACACTGGCCACAGGCTTCTCATCACTCTTCAGGGTTGGCTGCCTAGAAGAGAAAGACAAGCACACTAAGAGAGTTTGGCAGAACAGCCCTTAGTTACCTTTCAGCAAAGACTGATGAGCCTGTCCGGACTTAACCCATTCTAAAGCCTCAAATGATGCTGAGAGAAGGATCAGAAGAAACTGCAGTGTATGGCAAATTCAAAAGGAGACTAGAGGCAAGGCTGAGACAGAGAGACAGTAAGGGATAAGGCCTCTCAGAGTCTAAGAAGAATCAGATGTCATCAGAATAATACCTTTTTGGAACTATGAGGTGACATGTGCTCCTCTAGAATTTGGACTGTCTACATACATTAGGAATTTGGCCTTGCAAGTTAGGAAGAGGCAAAGATGCCATAAGGGAGGAAAAGTTCTTCAGAACACAGTGCATGATAATTTGAAGACAAATGAGTGGAATTTTCCCACTTACCCAAGGGAAAAGGGCCATGTGATGCCACATGTTCAGGTGATCTTGAGACCGTCTGTCCAACTTTAACCATCTTTAACCTCTGAAACCTTAAGATTCAATAAGTAATACAGACACCTCTCTCTCCTCCGCATTACTTTTCAGTGGGCTTCTCCTGGGGCCAGTCCCCAAAGTGACCCACTAGTCATGGCCGTCACAAAAGCAGCAGCAGCCAAAATGTGTGCATAGAAGTTGGACTTCTAAATGGTACATGGCCACGGCCAACCTGAGAACTGGTTGTGCACCTCTTACTATGCCCATGCCAAAATGTTTTCCCATGGTCAGTGATGCATTCCTCACTCTTCACCTTCCTTTTAAGTAGATGATCTGACAACCTTGAGAAAGCAGCTCCTGATTTAAGATTTTTGAAGTTAAGTCCCTAAAGTCTGTATTTTTTATCTTTAGTCCTAGGAAAGAGACCCTCTTGGACTGGTATGTTCTTCCTCATCTGACAGAAGACTGGCACATGAAAGAACACACTTTTATATATCACTCTGCTGTTGGAGTCAGTCTGCATGACTCTTCAATCACACTGCTCTTGGGTTGCTATAAGCCTCTGCGGGCAGCTCCCAGGGCCCTGTGGATGTCCACATTTCCAGATAACACAGCAAGCTCACCAGGGTCTGGGGCCCATCTCCTCAAAGTTGGCCCAGGGCGGCTTTGCAGGAGCTGGAGGCCCTGTTCAGATGTCAGTGGGATTCTTTTCAGGATCCGAAGTCAGAAGGGTAGCCCAAGCCCCATACTCTGCAGGGGCCAAGGTGAGGAATTTGAGTGGGAAGGCCTCATCATCTGTACCCAAAAAGGATAGGGAATCAGCAGGATCATGGGATGGCTCATCAAGTGCTGTGAGAGGCTGAGGCCTCCCACAGGGCCAGAGCTGGGCCAGAAAACGAGCTGACATCTCCTCACAGCCCAGCCCATTTGTCACATCTTCCCCCCATGTGGCTTTTCTCCCACTGGGTTCAGACTTGGTCCATTCCTGCTGCTACAAGGAAAAGCCCAGAAAAGAGAAAAAAGGGGTGCAGGACAAGAGAAGAGGACATACTCAGCCAATAGTATCTTAGAAAACAACCTAGAAATAAAGTGTGAAGGCTTTGAAAGACAGCAATTTTCCACTTGAAGGGTACATAAAAAGTAGCAAGTTTACTCACTAAAAATTAGTCTTATTTAAAGTTTTACATGGCTTCAGTTTCTTAAGAAGCTCATTTGCAGGGGAGGGTATAGCTCAAGTGGTAGAGCACATGCCTAGCATGCACAAGGTCCTGGGTTCATACCCAGTACCTCCTCTAAAAATAAATAAATAAACCTAATTACCTCCTCCCCAGCTCCCCCCTCCCAAAAATGCAGCAGCAGCTCATTTTGTAAGTTTTTTCCTGATTTAACAGAATCTTCAAAAGAAAAGTCTTATATCTATCCCTCTCAAATAAAATAATTATCTTTAATTCAAGATCATCAATGTAAAAATGCAAAGTGCCTACCAGCTCGGGAAGCTGATCTGGTAAGGGTTACAAGGCACTTTTTGTTGAAATGAAAAAAAAAATTTTTTTAAACATTGGTAACTATTCTGTAATTTATTACAAAGAGCCTCCCCCCCCACTTAGCAATTGGCTTCCATCCTGTTTGTATTCTGAACAGTTCTAGACGTTGTATTCAAGAAAAAGATTTTTTGTTCAGGAACATGGCACAGACACAGAATGAAATCCCATTAGGAACAACAGAATCTCCTGTCTACAATCTAAGACCTATGGAGGACCCAGCTTTCACCCTTGAACTTCGCTGCTAAGCAAGGTCTAGGACCAAGGTGCTACAGTAGGAGGCAGCTATGTGGGAGGGCTGGGCGTCTGTGTTACAGGAAACTGCACCTCCCTGGGAATCCACAAGGACTCTCCTGAGTCACAAGGCCAGCAGCTCACTCTTCCAGCCAGAGCCACTAAAAACACTTGGAGTGCTGAACTGCTTCAGCACTTCATCCAAGAACAGAACATGTCAGTTTATAGCAGCCAAAGAGCAAGCCATAGGCTTTCCCTTTGTTTAAAGAAGGGACCAGTTGAAAAGTCTGGGCCTGGCCCAGCAGCAGACGTTTCTCCCCTTTCAGTGACTCACCAGTTTCTCTGACTGAAGGCGGGGATGCTGGTCAGGCTCTGGTCACTGGCAGGGTAATACTGCGCGTATGATGGGCGGGTATATGGAACCGAAGTGCGTTTGTCTTCCTCGTAGCTTTTCTTTGCTGCTTTTTTCTCAGCCTTGGTCAGCTTGTGATCCTTTCGGTTAAGGAGCAATGACTCATGCTCAAAAGGCTCCTGGGGACACAGGAGGATGTTGATTTAATTACCAGTCTTCATTCCAACATGGCTGACATATAGCAAGCCTGCTTTAAAACCAAGAAAGGGCTGGCTGTGTGCAGCACTTAGCAAAGAGCCTACTCACAGACACACAGGCAGGCTTACTGTTTCTGTCAAGAGTATAAATTCACATACAACTCTAACCTAGCCCCAGCTTTAGATAACTCAAAACTGCTTTCCATATCAAAAGGATGGGAGAGTTCAGAGAATTAATAGAGTATATTTCCAGAATTTCCCCCTCTTTTTCTGCTAGGAAAACTTACACTGGCCAAATCATTCTCATGGCTGAGCTCAGTACTTCTAAGATAAGATTAGGGTTGGGAGTGGGGAGGGGGCTGTATGAGGCAAGGAAAAGTAACAGCTGAGTTTAAGTCACCTGGAGGAAACAAAACTTCGGATGAAGGAAGCAAGCTGCCAGACAAGCCTCCTTCAATGGAGAGTGTGGTACGGGGCACCCAAGCATAAAGGGTCTTACCTTGGTGATGAGGTGAGGGTACTTCAGACAGGCAAGTTGCAGGACTGGCTCCTTGATCCCCTTTATATTCAGGGATGCTTGTGGGGCCGGCTCCTTCTCAACAAAGTGCAGTAGGTTCTCCACCTCCTTCCGAGTAAAGTTCAGCATTGGATTGAGATCATCCACCACCCGATCTAGAAGGGAGAAGACGTGGAGAAAGTCAGTTCATGGCGAAGAAGACTGCAAAAGCACAGCTACAAAGATTGGCAAAGAGAAGAGAGGTTGGGAGTGACAAAAGTGTCACTAACACCTAAACCACCTCGGGCCACTCATACCTGAAAGTCAAAGACCAGGTCTGAGGCCCTCATGAAATAGAAATACCTTAAAAGAAATCTGCATAATTAGCTCAGCTCTTATCATTAAACCCATCTTTAATAATCTGAGGTAAATCCCCTCTTAAGCAATTATTTGAATCAGAATAAGATGGAAGTAACTGCTGGCTTCCTATGATTGAAAACCTGTCTGTGTTCCCACATCCTGCCCCTCCTCTCCCAGTCTTTGTACAGTAAGAATGGCAGCCTGTATAAATCTGCCTCCTCTGAGCCTAAAAGGTGGCTCACCTGACATGCCCTGCTTGGAAATCTGACGGTCATAGATCTTCTTTTCGAGGGTGAAATCAGCCACCAGGCGATAGATGTGACAGGGCTTTTTCTGGCCGTAACGGTATACCCGACATACTGCCTGGGCATCGTGGCAAGGGTTCCAGGAAGCATCAAACACCACCACTCTGTTGGCACCAATCAGATTCACGCCCAAGCACCCAGCCCTTTAAAACACAAGCCAATAATCACAGAACCTTTAGTTTTAACGATGTTTTTCAAATCAATTTTACCCTGTGACCCCTACCCTAGTATCATCCTCTTTGTTCTAAGCAGAATATAGCAGAGGATTTCACTGATCTGCTGATGAACAGTACATTCCTCAAGCACTGAAAAGTATGCCCTGAAAATCTACCATGGAAGTGCCTACCAGCTCGGGAAGAAAACCTATTCTCCATCCCGCTGTATGGAGTAAGGCCCTATATCCTGTCCCCAGAGTGATGCCACTCGGTGAGGGGAAATGCCTGCATACTGATGTTTCTGGTGCGTTCAGTCTAACAGCTTAGGAGAGTGACTGGTTCATACCCTTTGATCAAGGGCATTCAGATGGCAGAAGGCACCACAGCCTTTAGGCTGCTGGGCATGAGACAAATAACGGCAGCAGCCTTTTACAGCAGTTACATTACACTGGCTACTTTTTACAGTACTTTCACATTCGTCACATTGTCTAAGCCTCAGAACAGTCCTGAGAGAAAGCTAATTTTAACCTTATTGATGAAGATCTCAAAGAAATTCATGACCCTATCATAATTGCCCTGCTAACACAAATTCCTTTTGGGGTCCCCTCTCTGACCTCAGAAACAAGTCACAAACCTGAGGAGATCTCTTCTGACAGAACTTGAACAAGCCTCTGGGATACCTGTCCATGTAGCCAACTGCTCTGAATACAGTCCTCTGACCTCCCCTCTCAGGATCCACTCACCTTGTGGAGAGAAGGAACAGCCAGGTGGTGAGGTTGCTGGGATCATTGAACTGATTAATGAGTCGCTCCCTCTCAAAGGCAGGGGTGCTACCATCTAGCCCTAGGACAGAAGGAAAAACACAAGTGAAAAGATGAGGGCAGGGGTACACAGCAAAATTATTCGGCAAATGTGTTTTAAAAACAAAACAAACACACTACAGTGCTTGATCCCACACCCTGTCCCTGCTCAGATTCCATGGGATCTACCATGAGACTCAGGTATCTGTCATTCTAAAATAATACTGTGATTCTTACATGCAACAACGACTATAAACTGTGTTTCTCCCTTTAGTATCTTGCGTCAGTTCTAAGGCCAAAGTTCCTAGACCAAAGAGTGCGTAAGAATAGCTGTAATCAAGAAGCTTGGAAAACACTGGCTCAAGGTGACCTCTCTGCCTCAGTCCTGTGAATCCTAGTGAGTGCACAAGGGTCAAGGGTTTTGTGTTTTGATATAGATGATGTTCCTCCACCAGGAATCTGCATTGTTAACAAGCTCCTCAGGCTAAGAAGCGGCTAGAAGGATACATAAAAGAAATAGACCTGGAGCAGTAGGATGGAGCTTAGGAGTGAAAAGAGGGAGGCTTAAAGGAGAAAAATTAAGCTTAAGAAGGCATGATTAAGAGAGGAGGGGCTATGTTTGTCACCTGAGGTAAAGCAGAGAAAAGGGCAAAACTCAGGCTATGAAATACCACTTGGAGAACTGAAACACGACGACTGTAGGAAGCATTAGTTTAATTGCCCGGTATTAGAGGCTCCTCAGTCAGCACTCCAATCTACCTTTTCAAACTGAGTTCCCACAGTTTCCAAGCACAGCTCAGCACCGACTCATTGGGATACAGATAGTCAACACAAGGCTCCAGGCTAGATCCTGTGCTGGGGTCTCTTCACCATCCTCTAAACCTCCATTTCTCTAAATTCTTCCTGATTTAAAGGCCAGGGCTTCTCAGCAAGGGTGATTTCCCCACCCTCCTACCGTATAGGGAACATCTGGCAATGTCTGGAGACATTTCTGGTTGTTATAACTGGGTGGATGCTACTGCCACCTAGTGAGTAGAGACCAGGAATGCTGCTAAACATGATACAGTACAGCAAAGAATTATCTGGCCCAAATGTCAGTATCTGCTCAATAAGTGCCTGAGGTCAGTGTTTCTCAGCTTTTTTTCATTATCACCCTCTTAAGGAGCACTTTAAAATATTTTTCTCAATTACCTTGCCCTCCATAAAATTTTAACACCATAGATATACTGTATACATTTATTTTCTGTATGCATATTTTATGCATATGCTTTATACTTTTAAAGTTAAAAATTTTTCATCCCCTCAAGAACTGATTTGCACCCCCTCAGAGATGCTATCTTCCCCACACAGAATGCATGATCTAGGCTGTGTTCACTCTTCCTCCCACCTAGAGTGATCTTCAGGTCACACTGGTTCTGTATATTCAAATTCTCCCCACCTTTGCAAGTCCAGCACAAGTTCCACCTCCTCCAGGAAGTCTTCTCCAAGCGACCTCACCATGATGATGCTGTCCTCCATAGAATCTTCATTAGGGCACTCAATCAATCAGTGCTACTTTGAATCTGTCCTCAAGTTGCCACATCTCACTTAACGACAAGCCTATGCCTTCTGTGTCTCTGCACTCCCACTATCTCCCCTAAGCTCCCCAGCCCCAGTCCAGTGCCTCATACACAGCAGCTCCCTCTCAGTATCTCTCTGCTCTTTAGCTAATCACAAATATTCCTATGCATTTGATGAAGAATGGAGTAGGAGAAGAGAGAAAGAGAGAGCAGAAAAGGAAACCCATGGGCAGACCTTGCCAAGGCTCTAGGAACAAAGCAGCAGTGAACTCACGGAAGTAGCTGACGTTTCGAACCCACTTCTGAACTCCTTGCCCCTCAGCACCAGGTAGACAGGGCACTTCTCGCTTCCCCAGGAACTCCTCAATTAGAGCCAATGTGGAAAGGCTCTGGCTGAAAGGGACACATTTGGTTCAGAAGACTCCCAGACCCAAGGGAATCTTGTTCCCCAACAGGCCCACACCAACAGGCTCCCGTCTGACAGTCAGAGTTCCCACAACTCCCCATAAAAGGTAACCCCACAAAGAACCACCAAGGGTATTCTTTCTAGCTCATAAGGGAGGAGAGTCATCTACCCGCTTATTAGCACCACCCCACTAAAAAACTCTCTATCCTATTACTTTCTCAATTGAAAAATTCTGGGCTTTAGCTCAGTGCAGAGTAACAAACAGCAACAGCATTAAAAACCAACACTGCATGCACATACATCAGATCTATTAATATGGTCCACAGGCAATATTATGGGTCTTACTAAGGAGACAGATCACTCAGCTGCTTCCAAGTTATTTATGCAGAGAGTCAGTCCATAAACCTAGGGGGAACACTAGGTTCTCCCCAAGTTAGAATCACTGCTTTGCTTTCAAAATATGTCACACATGGAAACCCTCACTCGGAGACTTCCAAGCCAGGCCCCTGCCACTTAGCTCTCACTGGAGCATAAACTGCTCAGAACAAAAGAGAAGCAATCTACTTTATGTCTGTTTCCCTGAGGAGTGAGGCCTTCATGGGACTCAAAGTTGTGGCAAGACTGAGAATGTGACTCTGGAACAAATCAGATCACTTTATCTGGCCTTACATACAAAGTTTTAAAAAAAAAGGCTGGGGAGGCATAGAAGCAGATTAGACCAGAGGTCAGCAAATGTTTTCTGTAAAGGGCCAGATAGTAAATAGTTTAAGGCTTTGCAGACCACACACAGTCTCTGCTGCATATGCCTATTTATTTAAAACAACAACAACAAAACTTTTAAAATGTAAAAACTAGCTCTCAGGCTGCACAAAAACAGGACACAGGCCAGATATGGCCTGAGTTATAATTTGAAGGATTTGACTGTGATCTCTAATGTTAGCCTAGGGCTTCAAATTGTTCTCTGCAGAGAAACTGTATTGGACAAAGAAACAAACTCCAAAAAAGACAAAACACAAGAAGGTCCTCACAAGAAGCACTGATTGCAGAGGCATGGAGAAAGAAAAAGGGGCTGGTGCAAACCCAGCCAGTCTCACTGTGTAGGTGCTGTGTCTCTCTTAACCAAAGACACATTCTCAGGAATTTCTCTTCCTACCTGAACACAAGGATCTTGTCCCCAAGCTTCACACTTTCCTCGATCAAATGGAAAAGCAGTACCATCTTGGGAGAATTCTCCAAGACACCAGTCTGGTAATTAGCCAAAAGGTCTTTGGCCTGTAGGAGAGAAATGAGGTAGCTTGGAGGAGATCCATGGCCAGATTACTAGAAATACAATTCTCTCCCTCCAAGGTAGTAGCTCACGAACATTCTTTATAGTTCCCTGCAGAGATCTTGGAAGTATAAGGCACTATGCACGTCCCACCGGCTCCCCACAAAGGCTTTTATCATCCCTTCTCAGCAGTGGTTTATGGCCATAGAAGGATCTGCTCAACTCACCCATTCGTAAGTGACAATGTTGTTGCCTCGCTCCTGGAAAGGGTTAAAGCCGACCCCTTGTAGGAACTTGCTATTGGTTGCCTCTCCCATTGAAGAGGCCAAGGCGCTGTCCTCCCCTTTGCCTTTTGTTCCCTGTGATGGGCAGCGGGAACTAGTCCCTGCTGAACCAAGCTCTTCCACGTCCAAGTCCTGCTCATTGGCCAGGCTCTCCTTCTGAAGGGCTTCATACAGCACATCAGGGTGATTCCAGATCTGAGGTTCAAGTTAAAGGAGAGGTAGCACAGGGCAGAGAACAATCTAAAGGTGTCCCAGGGAGCCTGGAAACACGCACTTGCTCAAACACACACCTCCCACAGCACAAACTGTCTCACCAAAAATTAGTCTCCCCACCCCTCTCTTAGCCAAAGAGACTGCACGATCATTTTCACTAAATAGCTGTTTGCCATGATACATAAATGGGAGAGTTCATACCAGAAGGCATGCCAGTATGTTTGGCACACAATCAAAAAGGCTACGTCACAAGCCTTGTATTCTTATTTAAACAGAAACAAGAATATTCCTGTTTCACCATGTAGCTACAGTTAACTACTGTATGAAACTATGAAACAAGACCAAGCTCTCCCTATGGACAAATGTACCTAACTTACAGATGAGCAACCGTAAGTCATTTTGGGGACTATTCCTCGCAGGAGGTGAGAATTCTGAGGAAAGGTGTAGGGAGGTGGTGGGAAGGGTATATTAAGCAATGCAGCATCCTCACAGACCACGTCTGCTTTAGCTTCCTGGCCCTGGTCTAGGGCTGTGGCTACAGGAGAAATATTTTGAAACCCCATCCATAACCAGACACACACCTTCAGCTGACTGATTAAAGCAGTGGTCAAACAGGAATAGTACCCAACAGGCTGGTTGAGAGCTGTCAAAGAAACAGGCCCCTTGTGAGGCAACAGTGAGCATTTGGCCAGATCAAAGGTAAGTCAGGGTTCATCAACCTGTTCACGAGGCTTAGTGCTAAAGATATCTAGGGCTTGCTGTCTCTAAGCCATCTCAAGCATTGTCACAATGAAAGAGATCTTGATTTGATTAACTATGGATTAAAAGGGAAGGTACTCCTAATAACTTGTCTAAGCTATATATTTCTTGAATCTCGAATACACTAGCAGTCAAACACTCTGCCCCACAGTGTTTCTCTGTCACCTCACTTTTCAAGTGAAAAAAATCAGTGAGAAAAGAAGTGATTTCTCAAGTTTGGTATAACAAGTTGTGTGGCTGAGTTGCACAATTGCCCTAAGGGGCACCATTTACATTATAGCCCATAAGTGGCACTCCCAGGAATTGTCCCACCTTGAAGTCCCCAATGCAGTGAACTGAGGTGGCCCCTCTCACATCAGTCTTCCTTTATCAAAGACTCCTAGCAGGACTAACTCCCTTGGGACCATGTGAACCCTTAGTCTGTATCTTAGTATCTCATGAGACCTCAACACACCTTGCAGCACACACAGAAAGCTTTGAGGGGGTTCAGCCCCAGCCAGCCGCTGCTACCACAGTCCCGGAAGCGGTCCATGAACTGTGTGTATAGATCTCGCTGAATCTTGGAAAGCCGTACCAGGATCACATTTTCTTCCTTGGCAGGGAGATGAATCTTCAGCACAGTGTGGCCTCTCCTACAAAGGTCATAATTGACAAGGTAGTGTGGCCAGGAGGGGTCAGTGCAGGACAGAAACAGAACCCTGCATTTCTGCCACACCTCCTTTAGGATCTCAATGTTCACAGCAGTCTTGCAATAATGAGGACTAGTTCACCAATCATCAAGAAGAAATTCGTTTTGAGGATAAAAACTAAAGCAAGAGGTAGAGTGATCTGTCCCAGGTCCCTGAAAGGGTGATGGCGACCAAGGGAACTCCAGGTTCGCATTATGACCTAGGGCTGCTTCTCTAAGCTTTTCCCACACATGTCATCTTAACAAGGAAAAACACAGGGATACTTCAGACTTGCCTAATCTATGTATTTTAAGATGCTGAAATTGGCTAGGCCCTACCCCTTAGAACCACCATTTTGTTCTTTTATTCAAGTCATTAGAATGCTAGCTATCTCTTGCTTCTCACAGCAAGTTAGGAAGGTATCCCTAGTAACTTCAAAGATTAACTTTTGAGAGAAGCACTTCTGGACCATACTTTCAGAGACTGAAACACTGGATATATCCACCATTTGCTAGCTATTCAGGAAAATGTGTTCAGTGAAAGGAAAATTTTACTATTGCCCTACTAGGGAGGGGCCCTTGCACTGTAACAACCTTTCCCCTTCAGGAAAGCTCGGCAAGCTCTTCCACGAAGGCTCTCCAAGGATTCAGAAAATAGGGCCCTAGAGATGGCTCACCTCTGCACAAAGCCCTCCAGGAGGCTGTGCAGGACATGGCTCCGGTACCGCATGAGGCGGACATCCTGAGGTGTGCTGTCAATACACTGTCCATTCAGGATAGGCCGCTCAAACATGTTGCTGAACTCCTGCCGGGTGCCGAGGAAGTCTGGGCGCACAAAGTCCACCATGCACCAGTACTCGATGAGGTTGTTCTGCAGGGGGTACCCAGTCAGCACTACCCGGCGGCGAGAGCGAATGTTCTTCAGGGCCTGTGAGGTGCTGGCCTGGCAGTTTTTGATGCGGTGTCCTTCGTCACAGATCACCACATCAGGGCCAGGGCGGCATAAGGCCTTCTCAAACTCTAGGGAGGGAAGAGGATCCGGAGTAAGAGGGTGAGAGGGTCTGCTCTTAGTCAACAATATGAGAAGTAGGGGTGCACCCTGGAGGAGACAGAAGAAATGAAGGAAGCAGGAAAGCAAGAGTCAGCCCCCATTGGTGAAAGGGAGCCAGCCATCCAAGTTCCTGCACATTTGGTGTGACATGTTCACCTGGCCTGTTGACTCTTGCAGTAAATGTCCCTTTTCCCTCTTTCCTTTCCTTAACTGTTTTCCCTTTAGGCTAAGAGTAAAAGCTGGCTTGCATTCCTAGGGTTTATTCCAACTGGGCAGCAGAGAACATGACTTTAAAGAGTACCAGCTTAGGATTAAAAATTAGCCTGAAGGATATTGATGGGAATAACCCAGACACTTCTGTCAGCTCTCACCAGTGTCTTGGCACCATCTGAAGGTGGGCTGGTGGGAATTTGCTAAAGGACAAGGTCTTCCTGGAGTTACTCGCCAGTCATTGCTAAATGGCAAATTCATCCCAGCTCTACCACAGAAGCAAACCTACACCAAACATAATCTCATAGATGAAGAGACTTATAAAATGAAACAGCCCCTGAACCCTAAAAAAACCTTTCCTCCCCAAATAGGCAAAGGCCCCTTTGAAGAGGGGACAGAACTAGAACATGAGACTAGCTTTCACCAAAAAAAAAAAAAAGAAAAGAAAACTAGGATAAATTCACAAACAGTATCATTACTACTCTGCATATTCATTTTCAAAATACTTTAGAAATATTTTCTTAATGCTATGTCAGAGCATCTCTGGGAAGTGGCAGAGGCAGCAGTTACTCTTCTAACTATTCTATAAAAGACACTGGGGAGTCCTCCCCAAGCCAGTCTGTGGCCTGGCCTAACCAGAACTCCACTGCCTGCAGAGAAACCAGCACCTTCTGAGAGCCAGTGCAGGTCACCCCACCTATCTTGCAGACCAGGATTTCTGGTTCCTAACAATACAGCTCACATCAATAATGCCTCCCCCTTGACCACGTGCTAGAGCAGACACTATTTCTTTTCTCCTGAAACACCCCTAGGAGTACTTCCAGAGAGCCTGCCCACCTCTCCGAAACTCCTGCTGTCGATCTTCCTCATCCAGATCAATGATGACTGGGTGAGAACGTTTCTTGGTTTTCTTCGGTCTACCTGTGGCAAAGGATTTCTTCAGGGTGAGGAGTCTGTACATTTCGTACCCCATCAGCAGCACCCCACCCTCTGACACCCAATCAGCCATCACTTTAGCACGAGCCGCCATTGTCCTGCAAGAATAAACAGAAAGAAAATATTATGGCTTCTCCAGCTCCCCAGGAAGAATTTCTCACAATCAAAGCTGTGTTGATGTATATTTAGAAGTCCTTATTGCCAAAGACTTCATGTGGCAGCATCACAGGGCTGGCTAGCTACCCGAAGACTTTCCCACCATCCTACAGAAACTGAGGACAGAGTGGGTCATTGATGATGGTTAAACAGTAAAAAAAAAACAAAAAAACAAAAAAACCCCAGAATTCAAAGGTACAAGACAAGCAAAAGTGACATCTCCCTTGGATGTGCATGCATGACTATAGTACTACATCTGAGGGAGAATTTCAAGTTATTCCCACAATAAACACAAGGCAGTAAAAGCAGAGGCAATTTTATATTTCACCTGCTCAGGCCTTGTGAGTAAAGGACATGCAGTAAAGGGAAAAAAGAGCAGTGGAGATAAGATGATGCTCAGCACAGTCCCTCTACTCCTAAACAACTGAGCCTTGGCTGTATTTCATTAGCTGCACAGGGACTAACAGTCCTGAAATCTAGGAGAAAAGAGCAGGTGATCAGCCACCCGTGGGGCCACTCACAGTTTCCTCATTTTGCTGTGTGTGATCAAACATCACAAAAGGCACCCTCCACAGAAAAGAAAGTCTACCTTCTCAATTATCCAATATATCAATGGGGGAAGGGTAGCATGGATAGCTGGTTTGGACCAACAAATAGCTTTAGATTTTTGGAAAACAAAAAAAAAGAGTTGCATCTTTCAAAGCTTGGAAGCTGTAGCATTAAACGTCAACTATAGATTGATGCTTAAGAGAAGAGATTGGTGATTAGGTTTCTAAGTAAAGATAAATCTAAAAGGTGAAAAGTTAGAAGATGGAAAGTTTTATCATGTTGAATTTTATTACTATAAGAAATGTCCCAGGCTACGTAAGTCTGACTTTACCGAAAAACCAGACAGAGAAAAAAATGAGCAGCAAGAAGAGAGAGAGGGACACATCAAGAAATCAAAAGGGATCTGGGAGGAGAAGGCACATACCCAAATAGACTGCCTTGACATCCAGATCCTGGGAAGAAGTCTATAAGGAAAGGGGCAGAGAGGAGAGGGCAGGCCACCTACTTGTGCTCATCATTCAAGATGTGAACTTTAAAGAACCGAGGTTGGATTTCTTCAGGCTTGTGGTCAGCTGGAAGGGCTTCAGGAGCAGGGAGCCACATGTTGAACTCTGCCAGCCAATTCTGAAGAGTATTAACCTGTCAGAAAGTCAAATCCAAAAAGAGAGTTTTAGGGAACAAGCTCAGAGCTGAGCTTTCTGTCAAGATGTCTAGTGCCTAGTAAGGCATTAACCCAGTGCTTCAGAGGGGTGACTAAGAGGTGCCTTCCCCAACTCTTACCGGCACAATGGCAAGGACAGTTTTGGCTGGCGTGTGGCGGAAGAGGACATCGATGAAGGAGATCACTTGCAAAGTTTTCCCTAGACCCATGCTGTGGGCCAGGATACAGCCAAAGCCACTACTGCTCTTAAACCTCTCCAAGGACTCAACAAGGTTATCATACAGGAACCGGATCCCGCCAATCTGACAAAGGATAAGCACAGACAAATATCAGAGGGGCTGGCAAAGGCCAGGAGTCCAGTTTTACTTACTTTGGAATTAGTCAAAATTAAGTAAATGAGCAGACATTATACCAGACAGCTAGTGTGGACGGCTACAGAAGTTTCCCTGTACCCTGACTAGTTTATTGGCTGGTGACAGTCTTCTTGGAGGAAACAGAAAAGCATTCACCTAGTACAATGGCCCATCTGAGGCAGGACTCTTCAGTAACAAATTCCCACAGGGTTCTTTGACTCAGCCTTGGCCTGGCTGCCTTTGGTTGTTTACCTGGAGGCAGCCCATTCCACGAGGAGCAGTTCCTATTATTAAGGTTCTTACGCTGCGTCAACCTCTGCCTTCATGGAGCTTTCACTCACTGGTCCTGGTTCCCAGTTCTGGATCAATACAAACTACTCTGATCCCTCCTATTAGAAAGTCCCTCAGACTCTGAGTCTCACATTTCTTCTGGAGCCACAAGTTCCTAACCACACCACTGCTCTCCAGAGAGCAGCTCAATCAGTCTTGCAGATCTCACAGAAGGAGGCTCAAGATTATTAAGCCAAGAGATCAGCACCTTTTACGTGATGGGGCAAATCTTGTTCCTTCCCATTCATCAGGAATCCTGAAGCATCAACTGCTGGGAGGAAGAATCAGGCCTTTTCAACAGCTGCTCGTGGTACCAAACAAGTACTTCACAGGCTGTGATGCTAACAACCACCAGCAGGTGATATCCACAGCAAGGAAGCTGAAAGGAGACAAAGAGGAGAGCCCAGATTTGCTGTACCTGATGAGGTTTCACTGCCCGTGCCAACTGTGGGGCCAGGAAGACATTCTCCTCCTCTGGAGGGTGGTTCAGGTTGACGAGGACCCGCCCCAGAGCATCGCGCTGATTTAAGACGTCATTCACATGGGTGCCACCCTTCTCCTCTTCCTCATCCTCCTCACTGACAGATTCACTGCTGTCCACAATGTGCAGAGTGTCCTCCTCTCCAGAGCTCAGTTCAATCACCTCTGAGACAGCCAACAAAACAAAAACAAAAACCCAGGGAGCAGAGATAACTTACTGCCCGTTGTTAAAACAAAAGAACGTGGAAACAAAGTTAGAACTTGTTAACACTTATAAAAATGTTTATTTCTATTATTTCTCTCTTTCTGCTTCAAGTTAAGACAAGAGGAAAACTTAAATTTACCAAGGAGACTCAGAGAAATTTGTCACAGTCAGACCCCAAACTGAATGAGGAAGGACTGAACTCTGTACTAGGCAAAGGTACAGCCAATTTCTCAGGGTGAACATTGGTCAGGAGGAAGGAGGGGCACCTCTGGCTCGATCTTACCATCTCGACTGCTTTTTTCATCCTCACTGCCACTGCTACTGTCCAAACAAATGACTTCCTGGGTTAAGACCCGAGGAGGCAGTTGGGGACCATCACTTGCTCTTAAGACAATTTCCTCTAGGAAAAAAAAAAAAGACAGACGGGAATGTCAAAACCACATTTAGCTCAAACATCTTCTCCCAAATGACTTGCCATCCTCCTCTTGTTGTTCTCAGAGGGACTATCCTCTGAGGAGAGAAGTAAAGGACATCTCAGAAACCTCTGCACCCTTTCCAAATTCCATTTTCTCTACTGGTTCTTACCTCCTGGTATCTACACTGCGCCACTAGAAAAGGCCCTAACCCTTGGCATGTTAAAATCCAAAGTTATGAGGGGAAAATCGAAATAAGATCAATTTGAGGAGGCACACTTTTATCCATCTTAACTTTTAATATGAGATCCTACTGACTGTGTGCTCCTAAGAAGACAGATGACTTGAAAGCATTCCTGAGAGGCCACAATCTTACTCCATATCTGTCCTTGACCACTATACACATCAAGGGCCTCTTCTCCGTGCAGCACCGGGCCTTTCCTGCCACCTCCACTGCTTACCGGGAAGGAACTCCAGGGGAACAGTGGGAATAGGGGCTGCATAATCCTTCCTTTGCTGTTCCAGGCGCTTCCTTCTTTCCAATTCTTCCTGTTGTGCTGCTTTGGTAACTGGCTCCAATTGATCTTCCCGGAGCAGCTTTCTAAACATTAAAATAAGATAGAGTACTTGGGTTCACTTGAGATTTGGGCAATGTAATGTCAAGCTAAAGAGGGAAATCACCATTGCTGAGCTCAGAGAGCTGAGGTGGGAGGAGAAGCCACATCAGTCTCACTACACCCATGCAATGGGCAAGATTAAAAAATAAATGGGACTTCAAGGCTCAGGTGGTTCTGGGCTAACATATTTTTCATATTATTTAACTTCCTGACAGATGCCCCTGCTGACTCATCTCTGCATATAACAGACCAAGAGTAAAACAGAATAATATGTGATTCATAAAGCTAAAAAGCAGTATAAAAAATAAGTTGTTGCATGGGGAAGTGGGATTATGGATGATTCTACAGGCTTATTTTCCAAACTTAGAGTAATATTTTCAAGGGGTCATGCTTAAAAAAAATGAGGGTAGGAGGAGAAAAGTATCACTTATCTTCTTTCAATAGTAAAATTGTTACTGGTAGAAGAAAGGACTGTTGAGGATTTGGATAGTTACGGAAGTTCACATCTGCTGTTCTCTTAGGTCAAGGAAGAAGCCCTGCTTTGGACCAGATAGTTCCCTGCCAACTGAAGTTGAGTTCTAGGAGGATGAGAACTCAACTTTTTATCTCCTCTAATTTTGAGACATTAGGAAAAAATAAAGGAAGAAACAGAGTCTAACCAGAGCACCCTATGGTTGCTTCCCAGGACCTCTACAGAGTAGTGCACTCCCCAGTGGTGCTCAAGTGCCATCCACATCCACCCTGTATCCTCTGACAGCCCAGACCCAGCGGTCCTGAGCTGCATCTTCACTATTAATTGGGGCACGCAGCTTACACTTTTCTCCTTTGGAAACAGGACTCTCCTGCTCAAACCAGCCCTTCTTCTACCAACAGCCATCAAATGAAAGTAATACTTCTACTCCCTCGCTTCTCCTCCTACCCAGAGCACAGCTCACCGTATGTTTCTCCTCATGTGGGAGGGCTTCTGAGCTCTCTTCTTTTTGGGGTCTTCGGAGGCTAGGCTTTTGCCTTGGTGGTGCCTAAGCTGCTCTGAAGGCTCAGACTGAGATGAGGTAGTTGAAGTGCACCGCAGTGGCCGCTGCCCATCTTCCTCCAGCTGGGCACACTCAGTGCCACACATGTCTTCCAGGGATGGGTCTGAAAAGACAAGGGGAAAGAAGTGTCAGGGACCAAACTTTACTGGAAGAAAAATGGGTTTTGATGCCAGACACACCAGTATTCAAATCTCAACTCAGCAACTTATTAGCTGATGATCTAATAAGCCAAGTTACATCTCTCTGAACCTCAATGGACTTATCTATAAAATTAGGATAGTAATGCCCACACTTTAGAGCTGCTGTGAGGACCAAATAGTGCGCATGCTCAGAGCAGACTTATGACAAATGAGAGCCATCACTCTTGATATGATTTAGCACTATGATCAGAGTGAGGAAGCATCATGGCCTCGACTGCTCAGAAAGGGACAAATGGGTTCCAAGTACAGCTCACACTCACTTGTGTGTGACTCTAAGCAAATCTTGTCTGCCAGCAGGGAAAATACTCCTTCCTGCAGTATCTTAAAAAGTTCACCTATCCAATTTACCAACCATTTAATAAGGGTTTACAACATGGCAAGCACTGCTCTGGTTGCTTCAAGGGATATTGATAAGACCTCTTCCCTTCAAGGAGTTTGTTTTCTAGACATAATAAGGTAAAGTGTGCTAAAAACCAAAGGAGGGGCAGGCCAACTGAACTAAAGAACTTAAAAGTTCAAGACACCATTTTTCAGCCAGTGGTAATTAGTTAAACCACAAATAACTGTGTTAGGGTCACAGAATATGAAAAGTGCTACTTTGTGGGATGATCCCACAAGGAATTATATGGGAGGTAAAATGTGAGTGAGGCCTTGAAAGATGAATAGAACGTCTAAAGGTATTGCCTTGGGGATAGCAGGAAAAAGGGAAGAAATTCCTAGCAGAGGGAATGTGATTTATGGTATCAACCACCAGAAAGGACTAGGGTTGGGTAGGAGGGTCCATGTGTATGTATATCCCTCTCCTCATCTGCAGAGCAGCATTCTGTTCACTGGATGGGCAGGCTTTGACAATCACATAGACCTGTGCCCAAGTCCACCAGAGCCTTCCAGATACAAGCACTATACAACTAAAAGGCCTTCTTTCCCAAAGGTAAGGGGAATTCAAAACTAGAACATAAATGCTGAAACTGAGGTACTCTAGTCAGTGCCATTTGGCTCTCAGGCAGGAAGGAGGCAGGAAGTTGGGGGTTTTGGTGGGATTATTTTTATTTGTTATTTTGGATTTACCAGTTTTCCACTATTATCCTTTTCCCATCATAGTATCCCATCTAGGATATCATATTGCATTTAGTTGTCTTGTCTCTTTAGTCTCCCCTAAACTGCAGCAGTTTCTCAGTCTATTCTTGTCTTTCATGAATTTGACACTTTTTTGAAGAGCACTGGTCAGGTGTTTTGTAGACTGTCCCCCAATTTGGGTTTGTCTGATGATTAGATTGGGGTTGTGATATTTAGGAAAGAACACCACAGAGGTGAAGTGCGCTTCTCATCACCTTATCAGAGTACATGATATCAACATGGCTTATTACTGGTGACATTGACCTTGAAGTGGTGTCTACAAAATTTCTTCACTGTAAAATTACTATTTTTCCCTTTCCATTTTTTTATTCATTAGAGGCCAATCACTAAGTCTGACCCACATTCAGTGGGGAGAGAATTAAGCTTCATTACCTGCTGGGAGGGGTATCAAAGAATTTCTGAACATATGTTAAAACCACATACAAAAAAAAGTTTGGGGAGGGGCTTTGAGAATGCAAATGCAAATATCCTGTTTCTTAGACGTTTCACCCACTAATTTTAACATTCATCAGTGGATCTTACCTAGAGCAATTAGTATTGTGCTGTTCTAATGGTGCTTTTCAATTTTCCTCTTTGCTTCCACATTTATTACTTGGAGTTTTTCTGGAAGGGAGATTTGTCCCTTCTTCTTCATTTATATATTCAACATTTTATGACAGTATGGATTCAAGAAGAAACACTCAACCCTGTAGACTTTGGTAAAGGGAGGTCAGGGCTGCCATAGATTTCAATGAGTGAACCAGTTAACTGAACCAGTTAGCATCCCCAAGCTGAAAAAAAGACATACCTTGGGTCATCATCCAATGCACTCAACCACATAAAAATAACAAATGGGCCATCTCACCAATCCGTGGCTGAATCAGGGAATCATGAGTTTCCCAGATATACTGTTACTGCTCATCTTCCATGCCTTGAGGATGCCCTCCTTGCCCTGTTACCACTCTGAGTTCCTTATGGTCTCTTTCATATTGGTGCCAGATTTTAGAATAGCATGGAGTTGGAAACTAATGTTTCCTAAAAGATGACAGAGGTTAGGGGTTCAGTATGGACACTGAAGCCAGCCTACTGGGATGTGAACATCAGCTCTGCCCCTTGTTATAACCTTTCTGTTCCTCACTTATAAAGAGAATAACAACTGCCCTGTTAGTCCTTAACCTCAGAGGGTTTGTGGTGATGACTATATGAAATAGCCTAAACAAAGCGCTAGAACAATGCCTGGCATATAATAAACACTAAATAAAACAAGCTGCTGCTTTTACTATGACTACTACTATTCCAGATATAAGGAATAGGTTTGGTTTCATCTTTCTTTCTACAAAGTGATTTTCGCTCCTCTCATTCTAAGTATGATACAATGAAGCCCTAAAAACTTAAGAAGACTTGTCTATCGGTATACAGGAAAATGAGAACAGACAGTTAAGAGAATGCGCTTTGTAGTCAGGCAATCCTGGCTCTGTCACTTATTAGCTCTATGTTCATGGGTTCAAATTCTCTGAACCATAGTTCCTAAATTTGTAAAATGAGGATGTAAATAGCTCTCCCATTGAAAATATTATTCTTTAAACTCAAGTCTGTCAAACTCCATACTCCCAACCACATTCAACAGCCTGGAGGCATACAAAGCTCTGGGTCTTGGTCAGCCACGCTAGGTAGCACTATTCATTTGTGTGGAGAACTCAGACTTCAATTATATATCCTAATCAAAGATCAGAAATAAGAAAGTAAGTGGAGATGCAGAAATAACATATGCAAACTGCATTTTGTTCTTAGAAAATGAGTGTTTCTTACACACACACACACATACACACAAACCCCATATGAAGTTGTAGATTACTTCATTCTAAACCTCTGCACATGAGACCGCCACAAACCAGCCACTGTCACCTCTCCATCCCTGCTTTTAGTTTAGCCTAACATACATTTGAGCATCTACTTACTATGTAGGAGCCCTGTGCCAAGGCATAATGGAATGGTCCACACAGGGAAACACATACACACGTATACAGTGGAGTGCCTAATAGCAACAACACTTGGGGAAAGGACACCTAGTCCAGGCTTGCCTATCGTTGGTAATGGGGACTGTTTCCTTGGGAAAAGTGAGACCTGGGTTTGATCTAACAGAATGGGCAGGCACCAGCTTATAAAGAAAGAAAAGAAAGAACATTCTAGATAGATATTTTTAGAAGCATGAGCAAAAGAACAGAAACTCTAAACAAGGTGGAATGGTGGGGAGCGTATAGCTCAAGTGGTAGAGTATGCTTAGCATGCATGAAGTTCTGGGTTCAATCTCCAGTATCTCCATTTAAAAAAAAAGATAATAAATAAACAAGGTGGAATGGTTAGGAAAGTAAATGAGGTTCAATATTGGCTAAAATGAATTAAGCAAAACAGCAGGAGGAGTGGCCTTCCAACCCAACACCCACTTTCCTGCGTCTTCCCGGGAGCTCCTTTTCCAAGGAAAATTTAGGTGTAGATCCAAGATTCTCCCTGGATGCTGGACGGCACAGAAGTCAATGCCTGTCCTAGAGAGGACTACTTGCAAAGCCTTTTCTTTCCCTAGCATTCTACATCCCAGTGCCTGGTGGTTCGGTGGGGAGAGGAAGCTCAAGTGGCCATTGTAGAAGCTGGGGGTGAAGGTGGATGGTGGGTGCATACATGCACACACACTCACATGTGAATGCCCAGAAGCAGCACTGGGAGCATCCTCCTTGGCCCTTACACACTGAGATCACTGAAGGTATTAGGCAGACAACCTTTGCTTTCTGAAGAGCAAAGGGGACATGGCCAAGGGAGGCACCAAAAAATGTTCATGACGGAACACTGCAATACTATTAAAATGAGCAAGAGGTTAAAACATCACAGTCCCCTCTCTATTACCACTGGGCCCACAGTAGATGTTGTATAAAAGGCCTCCTAAAGGCAGCAGAGTCCAGCATGGCAAGTGGCATTGAGAATGCAACATGAGCCTTGGCTTGGGAACATGTTCTGCCTGCTGAGGAAGCAAGGTGTCATTGCTCCGGTGTCCAGCTGGACATGAGAACTAAAAAAGAAGCTCTAAGGTAGAGCTGCAAGTCTGACAAGATGTCCTCCCAAATGCACTACTCTCCTTAAGCAGTCCTTTCTCGTTTCCATCTGAAGCACCACAGGAGGAAAGCTCAGCAATTCTTGGTTTTCCTTAAGGACTATTATTCCTTCAGGCACCCCACCCCTCCAAAGAGCTAATATTTCTATGGCACTGTCACACAGTACTGCTGTCACCTCCCTCCTAAGTCACAGCCCTCGATTCTTCCCTCCTAAAAAGGGAGGCCATCAAATTTCTCCTCCCAAAGGACAGGTGGCTGGACAGCACATTCCCTAACAGGGAACACCCACTGCTAATTTGGCCACTTCACCAACACTGCAGCCTGACTGACACACCAATTACACTTGGGGCTGGGTTGGCACACTTGAACATGGTGTTTTGCTGGGTCCTTTGACCTGTTCTGGTAATGACCTTTGATGTTCTTCTGGCCTTGAAGCCTTTTGTTTTGTTTCTATTTCACAAGCAAATTTATTGAGTAACCACTTGGAGGAACAGTTGGAGGCAAGGTTAGAGAGTAGGCAACAAGACAGAGTCAGAATGTAGAGGGCAGGTTTTAAATGTCAGGCAGAAACGTTTGAACTTAATGTGTTGGGCAGTGGGAACTTGTTGCTAACTATTATATTTCTTTCTTCTGGTTTCTGCCTTGCAGAGTGGGCTGTTCCTGGGAGGAGGAAGAACAGAACC